TGAAATTTTCAGTGGTTGAAAATTGTTTTTTTTTCACTAAAAGGCTATTACATTTATTTATTTCTAAATTTTCTGTGAATCCTATAATAACTGATATAATAAACAAAATTGCGCTAGATTACTTTTTATTCATGGGAACACGGTTCCTAATCCGCCAAGCTTGACGGCGGGTTCCCGATAGACGCGGAACTAGGAGATTTTTTGATATGCTACCGGTAACAGAATTACGGTACAGAAAGTATTTTGTTTTGGATTGCGTGTCCATATATTTGAGCATCGCTCTCTTGTCTTCAAAAATCAGGTTGTTTACTTTATAACTTTGTGCACTGGGAATTTCATTTTGGGTAAAGAGTCGGGATATTAAAAAGATGGCTGACCACTGCCCCGAATGAATATAACTCAAAGCTATAATATTTTGTATAGTAGGGCGGGGGAAGATAGACACACGGGGTTAGATGGACACTTTTTTTCAAATTGACCTATTGGCGACATCTTATGGGGCTTGGTTTTGCAAATGCCATTGCCGAGTTCGTTGCTAAGGAGGGAATTCGTTCTAGCCATTTCGGTTCAGCGCTTGGCGTAGTTCGTCAGTTGTGTAGCTTTCCACGTGGCTTGTGATTTTTGAATGGTGAAAAAAGGGCATTTAGTAAGGACACGTTTTTCTTGGAGGCACTATATGCTCATTTTCAGCGAAGGAACTCTGAATCGCGCGTTTGTTGGTAAGTTTATACTTACTGACAATGATTTAGGACTAACTGAGCGACTTGTGCCATCTAGCAGCTAACTATATCTTTCAGCATGTGATCATGTAAAAATGGGGGGGTTATGAGGGGGTAATAAATTTCTTGCGTTTTTCGGGCTTATATTTACTTTGACCGTTCAAACCCGTTCTTTGTGAATAAGATACCAGAAAGTCTTCTTTTTAATTTTGATATTGCTTTTACCTGTCAAAACACTTCTTGGATAATCTCAATAATCTTATGAAATTATGGGGGGTGGCCATCTTACCCTTATGTACTATCATGTTTTTCCAGATGCAAGTTTTGGATGCACGGGAAACAGAAAATCCTAAAGAATGTTGAGAAAATACCAAAGAATATCAAACAGAGGCAAATAACAAATAGAGACTACGATGTACCATCTCATGAGGTTAACACCACGACAGAGGTAGAAAGTGTCACAAGTGAACCATGCTGCACTGTGCTCTCTAACGATTTTTTCAAGTAGAACTTCACCAGGAGTTCAGTAAGTTTCTGATAAAGTCAGTGATTCTTTGAGGCAAGAAAATAGCAGAGACCTGATAGCACCAGTTTATCATTTGAATATATTTGCCTCTTCCAGTAGCCACTCAGAGAGCCAAGAGGCAAAGAAAGCCATTCAGGCAGGAATTAGAGTGTTAACAAGTGAGAATTATGTAGCCGAACTGTCAGCACTCGCAGAAACAACGCCACCTAGCTCGTTCAGGAAAACTACAGCACTCGCAGAAACGATGTCATCTAGCTTGTCTAAGAAAGTTGCAGCTCCCAGGAAGAAAAAAGAAAATAAACGTAAGAATGAGCGACATGAAAGATATTGTTACAGTAACCTCTGTGCTGTTTGCAAGGTCGAATATTTTGACGACGAAGAGGACGAGCGATGGATTCAGTGCCAGAAATGCCAAAAGTGGCTTCACGATATTTGTGCCGGGATTTATGGAAAACACATTGTGTCCTTCCAATGTGATGACTGCTCTGCTTGAAGCTTTTTTGTATAAATATTTTCATTCGAATGTAAAATTCCATGACGATAGCTTTCATGCTATCCCAGATGTTCTTTTGGTGTTATGATTAAGATTTGTGTGAAAGTATGATCAAATAAAATTTGGCTGCTTTACTAGGTGGTGTTTTATCATACCTTCGTGAACAATTATATGGGTTCACAACTTCAAAAATTTAAAGGGTAAGATGGACATAGGGGGAATTTTCGAATGCCCCAAAAAATTTTCCAAATACATTGCATATTTTGATATTCTGATAAGAAACAGAACGCAATACTAGTATTTTGATGCGATTTTATTACATGTCCGTCATATCCGACCATATGTCCAACTTCCCCGAATTTTTTTTTCGCTTAAAAACGTTTCTGCTGTTGCCATGGTTGGAGACCGGCGGACGCCGCCGAGTGGCTAAAGAGTTCAGCCCCTTATGTTTGTACTTGCAAAGTTTTAGGAATATTTGAAGAAAGGTTTTCGAAATATAGATAATTTTCAATAAGGGGGGCCATCATCCCCCGCCCTACTATATATATACTTTTTTTTTATTTTGAAACATGAAAATATTAATAACAAAAGAATTTTAGGTTCCAATGATCTGCAATCCTGTAAAAATAGAAACATATTCAGTTCATAAATAAAAATTCACTTGCATATTGATGTATTTACTAACACTTTCAGAAGTGATTCCTTTCTCGAAGTTTTCCGCTGTCGTCGAACATATATATATTCGCAGCATTGGTGATAGCTGGAACATTGGTCATTTTTTGTGATTGTTATCAATTGGGAGATTATTTTTAACTTGATGATAAGGCATTCAAGCGATAGATGCATGACCAAAACGAAGATGAAAACATAAATGAGGATTTTCTGAGCAAACTATAAATTAGCCCCAAACGCACATACACAAGAATTTTTTTAAGTTTGTTGGTTGTTGACTTGTATTAATTCAAGTGTTGTGGAATTTTTAAGAAATATTGATTGGATATAATCTGAAACGAATTTTTCTACTTTTGGGTGGAATATTTCATATAAAGAAATCAAATTATTCAACGGAATTGATTGCTAGCCCAGTTTACAGCATAGAGATAATTCCATTGCCTTGGGCACAAATGAAATGAATGTTTCACTAATGTGT